AAAGCAAGAATTTGGTCTAGTTCACTAGGCTAGTGGTTTATGGGTCTAAAGCATGAAATCAGGCTTTCTTCAACCATTTACATAACCTGCTCTGCTGATAAGCATCAACAACAAGCTAATGGCCAAACGTTTAATAGCAGAACTAATTCCTCACAAATGAGAGAAACCAAAAGTGTTTATCAGAGTTTTAATCTAAGGTGCAAAGGAAAGCAATGAAAAACGATGAGTCATTCTATTCCTAGCACCTTTGAGTCAAAATGGAAATGAGACAAACGTGTGCATCAGTGCTACCAGGTTTCAGCATTTATCACACATCCATCAAACTCTTTATTGAGCTCCAGAGATTTCAGCACATGAACACTTTTAAACTTTTTATTTTAGATGTTATGATATTTCCATTTAATGTCTGGTTCTCAGTGTTATATTAGCCTGTTAGATGTTTCCGCTGATTTAAAGAAGTTTTTGCTCAGCAGCTGCTAACCACAACAATCCCATTTAGAATACCACGTTTGAACACCACGGTAACACAAAAGGTGCAATCACTCTGCACATACACTGACACACACACACAGGCACACATGCACACACTATTACACTATTATATCATTCCAGACACCCAATCAATGTTCACAGTGGAGATAAAAAAATAAGCTGTGGTGAAGCAGAAGTTGAGTATCAGAGTTAAAGTGCATTTTAACATCATAACCAAAATAAGGTGGCACTCAAGACGAAGGTTGCAGCAAATCTGGCCGCTTTTACCTCATCCAAGTGAATTATTTATCTAATAGAAGAAATTCACAGCAGTCTCATTTGAGAGATGATGTAATTTCACACAGAGGGGCTGATGATGAATGCTCCTCTGTGACACATTTCATCTCCCTGGCTGTGAGGTGAAATGGTTCTTCTTCAGAGATCCCCTTCTCCAGCCAAAATCAACACCTGCAAAGTGTGGGTGTGCATGTGTGTGTGTGTGTGTGTGTGGGGGGGGGGGGGGGGGGGGGTCTAGAAAGAAAGAGAAAAAGATATAAAAAAATTATTTTAAACTAGTAAATTAGTCATGACAATATATTCTCATTCCTTTTGGGCTCCACGGACGTTTCTCTTGGTTTTGAAGTAAAATTAAACACAGTGATGTACTTCATAATGCACATATTAGTAGTACGCCTTAAAAATAAAACTATTCTAAATCTGCTTTTGAAGAAATTACACCTCATGTTTTGAGTTATAAACACAAAACGCACAAACCAAACTCACACATATAAAAAGCTGCGTAAATCCTCAGAACAGGTTACATCTTGGCAGAAATATCTGTACGTACATAACATCTGAGTAATTTGTTTTGCTTTAACCCTCTCAGGCTCAAAACAGGTTTTGATAAAAGGACGAACAACTAAGTCCTTCAGGGGTACTTCTGAGTTAAAATATGCTCATGAACTACGTATGTGGAGTAACCAGGTAGGTAGGTTTTAACATTGCATAACTGCAACGCCTGCCTCCAGAGGGTTAAATTAAAGCGGTACATACTGAACCACAACTCTTTTGCTTATTTTTGTTAAGAAAACAGCAGAAAAGATGGCAACAGAAGCTTATGATATTAATAACAACAATCTGTGTCAGAACACTAACCAGTCCCAGATTCATTTTATTTTAAAACAACAGGTCTAAAAGCCAAGCAAATATTTGAGACATCAAAGGTGTAAAAACTTAGACATACTTTTCTCAGAGGTGTGGACACGTCACCAGATGAGTCATGATTTACCTTATTACACAATCAAAGTGGGGGGAGTGTAAGACGTGGTCAGTCACATGGGCATATTGGTGGGAATGGTGATGTTTGTTCTGCTCAGGTTTTTTTTTCCTTTCATGTGTCTCGAGCAGCAACAGCCCTCTGCAACAGATCTGAGGTGACTTTTAACGATAATGTACCATCTTCAGTCATGAGATTATGAACATGTTTTTGCCTCACCAAGACTAAATGAACACTTACAGGAGATTTTGTAATCTTGTGTTACTCTTTAAATTTATTTTTCATCTTCTTTTGATATTGAAAAGATACATAAAGAAACTACGCTCATATAGAAGTAGAAGATCTTCTGCTACATATTTCATCCTATTCTTCATAAATGTCCTGCAAGTTTTAGTTGCTTTTCTACTTTAGCACCTTATTCAATAGTTGCCTTACCTGATCAGCAGATCCTTGGGTTCTTCAGTAGTCTTTAATCCCATGTTGAATCAAATCAAGAGTGAAAAAAAAATCTAGAATAATGCTCTCCAACCACCGAGATCTCCAATCCTGCATGTTTCAGTTGCTTTCAGCACAACTGATCGAATGGTTGAATGACCTCAGCAGGTCACAAAGCTCTGCAGAAACCCTCATGGTGTTTACACATTTATGTCAGCCCGGCCCCAAAAAAAATCAAACGGCACCGGAGTTTGGTTTCACACTCAGGTCAGATTTGCGTTTTCGGTGCCGAGGCGACTCTTTTTCTCAGACCTTCTCCCCAGCAGTCAGACCTGGACCGAGACCTCCCCAGCCGTCAGACTGGGACCGAGACGACACTACACAATGAAATGACGCCTACCGCCTCCGATCTTTCTCATGCTGGATGCTGTTGAGAAACTTCTGTCTGTAGCACAGAGCTGCTGTTCCTGAGCTGCCGAGTGAGGGAATGGGAAAAGAGAATAGCTCTGTGTGTGTGTGTGTGTGTGTGTGTGTGTGTGTGTGTGTGTGTGTGTGTGTGTGTGTGCGCGCGCACGCCTGTTCTCCGCATTGGAGCATAATTTGATTCACCAGTGTATGGAGGTCAAGGGTCACTGAGCTTATCAAAACAATTTAGAGTTTCAATAAATAGTTCTAAAATTTTTGGAATCAATAAAATGACAACAGTACCCAAATGTATGCACCTGCCTACTTTTGTTTTAACAATAATTGCACACTTTCTGTAAATCCTATAAGAAATTGTTGACTTCTCAAATAAGTGTGTGTTTCTATATATTTAACTGAAAACTTTTGTTGTAACAATTAATGATTTATACAGGAAATCATGAAGATTACCAAGGCTGCCAAACATTTCACATCCCACTGCATTTGGTGGCATATTCTCAGCTATCTATTTATGATTCCAACATTGTGCCATGATCTGCTTGTGTTTTGTTCAGTCAGTTCAGTTTTCCACTCACTCACTCACTCACTCACTCACTCACTCACTCACTCACTCACTCACTCACTCACTCACTCACTCACTCACTCACACTCACTCACTCCTCTGCACACCTGTTTCCGTCAGCTCACCTGTTACAACAACAGCAGCAGCAACAGACACATATTAGCTCTACACCAAAAAAAACAGATAAGATTAAACAAATAAGATCAAAATAAAATTAAACAATTAGACATAAAGACAACGGACTGTTCTCATATATAATATGTTCAAGCAATCAAAACAGACTAAAAACAATCTTTAAGTAATCAGAAGCCACATTGATCAAAAATTGCAATGAATTATTGAAGGTGGATAAAGGAATGTAGGTAGTGAGCTTCAGTGATTTTTGCAGCTCATTCCAGTCGTTGGAAGCAGCAAACTGGAATGAGGAGCGGCCAAAGGAGGTGCGAGCTTTGGGAATAACCGTAGAGATTAAGTTACTGGAACATAAATTGGGCTGGTTTTTGGAAGTGACGAGTAATGGCGGGTTCTACCGATGATTCTTTTGTATATGAACTGATACCAACGTCACAACCTGCAGGAATGGAGCGATGGCCAGTTAACGAGTGAGTCCAGATCACAATGATGAGTAGAGAAAGGGGCACCACAGACAAAACGGATTGCTGAGAGATTAATGACATCACGTTTATAAAGACGTTTTTTGGAAGCAGTCCTATAAATGATGTCACCGTAATCTATGATGGGAAGAATTGTCATTTTGACCAAGGTTTGCTGTGCAGAATGAGTAAAGGATGACCTGTTGCTTGATAGAAATCTGATTCTTGACTTGACTTTAGAAAGTAATGAATTAATGTGAATGTCAAATGAAAGTGCCAAGCCAGATACCCAAATACTTACAGGAACTGACAAGCTGTAGTTTTGTACCATCCAGGGAGCCAATACTAGGGTGGCAGGTTGATTGTGATAAGTTACGGGTGAAGATCATGAACTTTGTTTAACTTGTGTTTAAATGAAGATGAAGGTTGGAGAAGGCATGTTGAAGACAAAGGTGTGCTGCAAGGAGGACTTAGTTGCATTCAAGGAAGAACTGCATGCATATAAAATGGTGTCGTCTGCATATAAATGTATGTGAGAACTGTCAACAGCATGAAAGTCCCTTTGTTCATTCACTACTGGTCAGGTCCTTCTGCTGTCCTTCCCGGGGCTGTATGATCTTGTCACTGCTGTTTGTTCTGAATCCTGTTATCATGACTCCAGTTCTTCTGTGTTCTTATTTTAGTAAAACTTGCCTCCCTACTGTTATTAAAGAGAACATAACATAATGTTATGTCCGTTACCTAATCCACACTAAATTAAGTCAATGTAGCAAAGTAGTTTAACAGGTCGTACCTAAACTAAATTATTATGTTTGCTTCTAAGGTTTCAAAAGACAAATGTGTAAAAAGTAGAAAATTAGAATAACATGCCAGTTCATTTCAGTAAAAGCAAACCAAGTACTGAGATCATATATACACGGTTATACCTTTTCAGAGGTCTAACATTTATCTATTTAAAATCCTCCTTTCATACAATATTCTTATAGTGTTCGATTTTGAATGTGGGGTTTTCATCATCGTCATCATCATCATCATCATCATCATCATCATCATCATCATCATCATAATTATAACAAATAAAGAATAGAAATATCTGGCTTTGCATTTTGAGTTTATCTCAAATAGTACGTCCACCTATTAAGTTGAATACTGAATAAAAAGATCTTTTGCACCATATTCTAATGTTTGAAGTTTCACTTGTGTTATAAAATGAAGCTGCATGTAAAAAACACAACAGGAACTGTGTTCTTCATTTTTTTAAACAATACAATACAAAACAGTATTACAGTTTCCAGACACAGTGGTTTCCATGGTTACAGGATGAGTTTAGGAAAAGAAACAAAACAGCTTGAAGCTGAACAGTACAACAAAAACAAAGAGAACGATTATCTGATGCTTAAATCAGTCCAGCAGCAAAACTCATCAACCATCACTGATTCTGTCCATGAATTTGTTGTACAGTTTAATAACATATGAAATAATACAAGACGAGGAGATTCTTTTTTAAATCCAGCTTCAGCTCGTGAAGTTAAAAAAAAAAAAGAAGAAGAAAAGCGATGGGGTATTTCAGGGTGAGCAACATAAATTTTTCATTTTCGTGTTTTACTGGATTTAGGTCAGCTTCTCTTTGAAATCCAAACATTTCTCTTGAGGAAATGGAGTAAATTTCTTGTCTAAATGAGGTGGAGTTCAGACACAGCTTTGGGCGTTTTAGTCCAACAGGGGGCAGCAGAGCAACACTGTTGGAGAGTCACACAGGAGACAGTGCTTACAAACAGCAGACTCAAATCCTAAGTTAAATGTTTATTTCCCATTAAAGTCCAGTTCTGCTTGGACTCATTGCAATTTTCCTCCAACAGCTGCCTGAAGGGACTCAGAGTTAGCACGCAGCCATTTGTCATCTCTGTTTCAACCTTCCAGGTGCGTCTGAACTTCTTTTCCTGCCTGGTTTAGTTTCAGTGACCTTTGTGCAAGGTCTTCAGTACAGTAACATTTTCCTGCACGTGCTTGCTGAGAACACACAGAAGTCCTTCACCTGCTGCTGAGCAAACCTCCCCTCTGATGCTCACAAAGCCAAAAATAGGCAGCAGAAGTGAAACCTTCTGTACGGTAATGTCCTTCATGATTTCCCTACCAGAGTGAGCAGCCACGTTTTAATCTATGGCATAGTTACACTCTTAAAATCTGATTTGTAACTGAATACACATTAACTACAGTAGAATTCCACCTAAATGTACTATAAACAACAACAAGGATTTCAAAGTCAACGATTACAAAATATAATATTACATCTTATACAGTTTACATCCTGTCTGTACAACTTTGGTGATAAATGCACCTCAACAGCTGTTCAGTCTATAAATGTGTACAAATTATTCAGAGTAAGAAGTAAAGACTGTACATGCATTCAAATTTACAGTTTTTTCTTTTCTTTTCAGCTCAAGAGGGTAAGACAGCTGTACAATTCATACCGAACAATGAAAAATGTTTGTACAAAATGTGTCCGTGGGATTCTGTCACCGCACAGTTATGCACTTGGTTCCCATTGTAGCTTATTTGATTGAATCACATGCTTGCGTAACTTCTCTGTGGTAGATCAGGTGGTGCTCCGTGGTCAAATTGGCAGTGATGCAGAGAGCGGTACCTCGGTGCTTTATTCACCTCGACTCCATCAGTTATATATCTTTTTGAGCAGAGCTTTTAAGACTGTACATGAGGTTGAATATGCATTAAATGAATCAAATTACCCAAAGATACTGGAAATTGGCAAGTCCTTGGCAATCAGTGAGTTGGAGTTTTGTTTTCATCAGTTTGGAGACATGAAGTATTTTCTAGGCGAGGAGAACTGAAGAGAGGACATGACGTTGAGTTGATTGGTCCTTTAACAGTCTATTCAAAATGTTGATACTTAATTCAGTTTTATTGCACCATGATGTGTACACAACAAATACCAGTAGAAATATTTCAAAGCAACACCAGTTTGCATGCACACAGTAGAATTTCAATAACAAAATCTTGTTTTGATTGAAAGAAATTATTATAAAATATCAAATTTTATGTTATCTAAGCACAGGAAACGTCGTGTCTTAGTTTGTGGCCGGTTGAAAACAGTACTAGGCGATCAAATCCACCTGGAGTTGTGAGCGATCAGATCATTTTCATGTTAAACTTGCGTGCTCCTCCCTGGCCTCCACTAGTCGTGGGTCCGTCCACCTTTCTGAACGAATACTCCACAGAGAAGTTGTTCTTGTGCTGTCCTCTCCCTCGACTCCACACAAACAGCAGGATGAAACAGAACAGGACCACACCCAGAAACATGATGCAGCCCATCGCCGTGGATATGAGGATGGTTTTCAGGTCAAGCGTGAACTTCAAGAAAACTCTGGTGTCATTGAGATTTGTGTCATTAAGGTCCCCGACATAATAGGTGCGATTGGCCATGAGGGCTGCATCGAGAGGAAGCCCACTTACTGTCAGTGTAGCAAAATATGTGTCGTTTCCACCGGCGTTGCTGGCTATGCAGATGTACGTTCCACTGTCTGTCACCTGGGCGTAACGGATTTCCAGTGTGCCCTCTGCCAGCACGGTAAGTCGGCCGCTACTCTTTGTGGTGATGCGACGGCGCTGTGGAGAAATCCAGAAAATCACAGGGGTTGGTTCGCCTTCTGCTTTGCAGATGAAGGACACCACCTGGCCTTCTCGGGCAGAAATCTGCTGCAGCTTCCTGTTGTGGATTTTGGGCTTCTGACAGGTAAAGTGATCGAAAAGAGCCGAGTCGGTAAAAGCATTGAGGGCCCGTCCTTGAACTTCAACAGGAGTCAAACACACAGGAGGGGCGTTGTCAAAGTTAAGTGTCTTCTTGCGCTGAAGGATCCAGAGTAAGCGGCAGTCGCAGGCCAGAGGGTTTTCATCCAAACGTAGAGTCTCCAGAGTGTTGACAGACTGAAAGGCTCCATCCTCCAGGGTCACCAGGCTGTTAGTGGAAAGATTAAGAAGACGGATTTGCCTGAGACCGCCAAGTGCAAACGCCTGCACTACAGCCAGGTTAGTGTTGACGAGATGCAGCTCCTTGAGCCTGATGAGATCCCGCAGAGCCCAGGACTCCAGCACAGAGATGGGGTTGTAGGAGAGGTTCAGGGAGGTGAGGTGAGTCAGACTGCGGAGGGCAGAGGTGGGGACAGAGGTGATGTTGGTGTGTGTGATGGACAACCAGGACAAGTTCAGACCCTGCAAGCTGTGGGGGGAGATGTACTCCAGAAAGGGCCAGTGATCAATTTCCAGACCCCTCAGGTTTCCCAGCTTTCGGAAGTTCTGGTCCTCTAAGGCGAATATACTGAGGTAGCGGAGCCGCAGAGTTACGAGGTTGTGCAGGTAAGACAAAGACTGGCTGGACACTGAAGTGAGGTTGCACCTCTCAATCGTCAGCTCCTTCAGTCCCACTAGACCTAGAAAGGCCTTGTTTGATATGTAAACCAGATCATTATCTCCAACCTCCAAATTCCTCAGACTCTTCAGATCTTGGAAAGTAAAATCCAAAAGAATCACAATCTTATTAGCACTAAGGTCCAGTGAAGTTAAGTTGGAGAGACGTGAGAAAGCCCCCATGGGGACCAGCTTCAGCTGGTTGCCCCTCAGTGAAAGTGACTGCAAGTTCTGAAGACTAGCAAAAGCGCTGGGCTCCAGGACACTGATCATGTTATCACTCAGGTCCAGCTTTTCCAGACGTGGATACGGAAGCAGATCGCCACGCTCTATCCAGCGGAGTTTATTCCCACCTAGATCCAATATCTTGGAGTCAGGTGGGATTCCATCTGGCAGCGCGGACAGACGTTTACCATTACAGGACACCGTCTTAAGCTTGGCAATGCACTCACAACGCTGGGGGCATCCTTGGCTTTGGATGGATGACACTGTGATCATGAGCAGCAAGAACAGGAACGGCAGGAGCCAGCACACATCCTGGCCCAGGCTGACCCCCATCGCCCCAGTTTCTGCCTCTTCTTTTGTCTCCGGTCTGGAGTTCAATCACTGGGCCTGGCACCTGAGGAAAGAGAGAGGAAAGAGGGGAGAGGGAGAGAAAAATACGATGGTAAGACAAATTATTCAGACTCAATTGCTTTTTAGCAATCAACCAAGCACTCTGAACGAGGATAATTGCAATTTCAAACTAGTAGATCCAACAGAGCAGTGAAATTAAAGCAGGAGCTCAGAGACAAATCAACGAGTCTGCTTCACATTCACTGTACAAATACCAACTGTGCCTCGATGAAATATCTCCCTCCAGTCCACAAAACCTGAACAGGTCTCTGATGTTTATATCTGACTGATGCTAATACAAGGACTGTATGTGAGAAAAGGTTTCAGAGCCCATTGTAACATCGTGCAAAATGTCTAAAAATGCAGGAAAACATGAAACAGTGTTGTGTTTTCAAGCAGTGCTGCTCTTTGGAAAAATGAGATGTTTGCAGACTAAAATTCCTATCGATGAAATACAAAAGACTATAAAGTACACTGAGACACTGGTGCCCCATGAGCAAATACACGAGAAGGTCACTCACCACAGCAGAACACAATAATTCAGCCCATCCAGCCTCTGAGGCATGCAGCTTATCATGAAAGGAGCATGCTTAGCACGACCTGCCAGTGGGTTTCATATAACCCTCTCTCTCTCTCTCTCTCTCTCTCTCTCGCTCTCTCTCTCTCTCTCTCTCTCTCTCTCTCTCTCTCTCTCTCACACACACACACACACACACACACACACACACACACACACACACACACACACACACACACACACACACACACACACACACATGCACAGCGGCTGTCTCCTTTCCAAAGCCTCAGCCTGCTGATGGATGACAACGGCATAGCAGTAACCTCCTCATAAACCCATCATGAAAAGCCAACTAACAGGATGGAGAGCAACTCTCGGATTATGATAGACTAACTGAGTGAGGGTCATGGATGCATTTGTTCGTAAAAAACACCACTACTAGTCTATCATCACTTACTAATTCACACTAGAAGCACCTTTACCCCCTTGTGCCCAAAGGATGACTTCTGCTGAAAATTGTTAACAAATGCTACTTAAATATTCCTTAATAGTTGCAATTGTTTCAAAGACATGGTACATGTTAATATGTGTTACCTGCAACTACCACTAATGATTTACTACCAACCCCCCCCCCCCCCCCCCCCCCCCCCCCCCCGCAGATGCATTTTTTATTGGAATTTAAAACTTACCACTCAAAACAATAACAACCTTCTGATTAAACATATGAAATATGTGTGGCAGCCAGCCCACGCTTATGGAGAGCATGCGAACTCTGTGCAGAGAAGAAAAACCAGACTTCAGTAACCGTCTTGCAATGGGGCAACAGTGCTGCCTGCTGCACCATCATGGTTCAGATACTGTATGTTACTAGTTTAATGTAACATTCATTTTTGCAAAGATCCATTTATAAGTTCTCTTTTTGCTTCTCTGATATGAACTCCAAAGGCTGGAAAGATCAGGAAGTATTGCAGGTGTTTAACGTTGTCATGGTTACACCTGTGCCTCCTTCCAGTACTCCTCTCATGCTTCAAATGCACCTCTCCTGGTTTTCATAACAAGCTGCATAATGTAGCTGTCCAGACCTTCTCAGTGGGGTTTCTGCTCTCACCCCCCCCCCCCCCCACACACACACACACACACACACACACACACACAGATGCTGCTGATTTAGTCTCAGCTCATATGTTGCCTAGTAACAATATTAAGACATCCGTTAAATTTGTCACATGCGAATGGTTTCCCATCTTCTGGTTTCATCCTAAGATGAAAGAGGATGGTTGTCAATCAAAACTTTTCATCAGCATCATTTATAGACGCCTCCTGCAGCATTAGACGAGTGGTCATTTAGCCTTTTCTTTTTTCAGTTGCCAGGCAACATTTTCTCATTTAGAGCGTGCTGTCTGAGAAATGTTCCTGTATGACGTGATGTTGTTTTGTAGGTGCCTTAAATATGTGCACCAAATGAAACAATATAAACCAAAAAAAAATTTTACGCATTTATTTTGTTTTCTTACATTTTAATTTTTCAGGATTTTTGCAGAACATCATGACTTACAGGAAAGTTATGGTTGTTCCTGATAATGTGATCACCATCTTATTAAAGGGATTGTTTTGGGGCGTTTGAAGTGTGTTTACGTGTACATGTTATAAATAATCACTAGGGTTCTCATCATGAAACAGCTTTTGTCTGAAAGGACTGATGAGCTAACAGCTAGTAAAAGCACAGCTCAGACTTCTCAGATGACACTAACAGAATTATATAAAGCATTACATCTTTCAAAGGGAGCCCTACAATCTTCAATATGTATTTGATTTTTATTTATGTCTTTGTTTTTAGTCTTAATTTTTATTTGGTCCTTTTAAAATGTTTTGTTGCATTTTATTGTAAATGTTTTAAAAATCTGTTTATAATTTTCATTGTTCTTGTGAAACGCCTCGTGATATTTATATTGAAAGGGCCATATAAAAACTCTTTTTCTTCTTGTCCTGCTTCTCGTGGTTAATAGTAGTGATAGTGGTTGGGATGCTGAAGCACACAGAGTGTCTTGTGAGCATTGTGATGACTAAACAGAAAGAAATGAATTGTGGGGATGAGGGGATTGTATGAATTAACAATAATTTAGCAGCTGCATCACTGTGCAGTCATATGTTATTCACTTCTTAAAAATGCTCCAATCTATTCAGTTTTACACTTTCATGTCAGATCCCTTTGTTTACCTTGACATTGTGACAAATTTTGCATTAGAAGATTAATTTACTTGTGAGGAGTAAATATCACATCACCAGTGGCAACAAAATGTAGCACTTCATAACTCATTTGAAAGGTGTGAAGCACCTGTTTAATCAATACATTTGCAGTGGCCTCTAGTAGGAATGAACACCTTGTAAGTCGTACTCAGGCGCAAAAAAAAAAAAAAAAAGTCCCGATCCACCAGTTTCAGTAACTAGCAGACTGCCAGATCAGAGGAGAGCTTCAGATGGTGGGATTTGGAGTCTTATTTCATGATGTTTGGACATCTTGCCTCGGATTGGATAACAGCAATACAACTCTACCACTGACTCCATTTGCTTTGCGACGTTTTATCTCCACTAATAACACAATCCTGGAGGAGTTCTGCTGTGTGGTGGAGTTGTTAATGCTAAAAGTTAGCTTCTACTAGCAGAGACGTTGTCTGCTGTCCCCTGGATGCTAAACCAACAACAGCCTTCAACCATTGTTAGTCAAAATGGGTGAGTCCATGAATGTTAAGTGACAGTGTGATATAGATCTGCCTGGCTTTTGAAATCCTTGAGTTTCACAGTTTATTTTCTATCAGAAGCTAACAGAAGAGATAGGTGTAGGAGACTATTTTCATGTTCAGCCTGCATGAAAAACTTAGAGTGACTCGTTGAAATAGGAAAAAATAATCAAAACATATTGTTTTCAGTGACCCACACCATTATGATTTTAAAAATTGAAGCTGTTTTATGCTGGCAGTGATTTTCTTTGGAGTTAAAAACTGGATGGCTTAATCAGAAAAACATCCATGTGGGTTCAGTTTTCTTTGAACATCGTCGTCTCCTAAATTTAACTGCAGTTCATGAGTGATACAAAAATACATGTGAAAATACCAGAAAATCCTGTTTGGTTCTAGCAATGTGAACATAGCCCTCATATCAGAAGGTCTTTTTTCTATTTCAGTTTTATTCTTTGTTTTGTTCACCTCACGACACATATAGATGCACCATGAACGCATTTATCTACTGTGATTTTCAGATCAAAGTGGAAAAACGCAGGAATTATCTGTGATTTGTAGAACAGTAAAGTCACAGCCTACATCAGTTTGCTGCAGATTGATTGCCAACTCACACCGCGTTGTGTCGAAGTTCTCTGCTTCTGAACTAAATGTTTCAGACAGCTAGACTGAGCGCTGTTAGAGTGGAAGACAGGCTGCAAGTGCAAATCAAAGAGAAGCCTCCTCCTGTTCTGTCTTGACCTGTGGTGCCTGAATCAGCAGATCAAACCCTACAAACTGCACAAACCTTCTTTTGCCTTAAAGGACACAACTCCAGTGGCTGGCGGCTGGCGTTTTGGTGAACTAAGGCTGAAAGATTTATCTCCAGAGACAAAGTGTAAAAGAACAGCAAGAGCCAAAGTAGCACTAGACATGAACATTTCAGGAAGGAACTCAATTGCACATTAGGATTTTTCTGCATACTCAAAAAAGTCACATTACAATATTTAGTGCACATCTGTCTGATAGCATGGCATCAACTGTGAGCGGTGTTTAGTCAGGAGCAGGAGAAAACAGCTGGGAATATGATGCTGTAAAACTTTCATAGAGGAGGCTTTGGTGGAAAGAGTCAATGCCTTTTACTTTCATGACCCGTCACAGAGAGAAAATAACTGCTCGACAGATCAGGGCAGATGATGCAAACAGATCGGCCGATTGTTGCTTTTAGCAACACTCTCTTTGTTGTTTCCTGACTTTTTGTTCTGAATTATTCTTTAGATTTGAGTCACAAGGCCATTGTTGCACAACAAACCCACATTTTATTCAAGTGTGGAAGTAACTTTGATTAGCTCTGCTAATAACACGTCATAATCAAACGTTTTATTTTAGAGGTGTTGTGTCTCCAACTGACTAGATGCAAATGTGCATTTTCCCCCTCTCTGTAGCTTTTTAGGTTCCAGGTTTACCTATTAGAACTTAATCACTTTTATGGTTAATTGAGCGACAAACCCCAAAATGAGGTTATTTAAGATCTTTTTCTGTGAGCCTGTTAGCATCCATCTAACATGGCCTCCAATGCATCGACCACCTTTGTTTAGCATGCTGAAGGGCGCAGATGTCACTGACATGAACTCTATAGCTACTGATCAGTTCCATGTCAGTGTTGGCTAAAGCACAATCATGAACTTCCCATCTGGTCAGAAATAATCCTTCTTCTATCAGTTTGGCTGATTTCCATTTGTTTAGTAAAGCCGGGCGTACACTGTGCGA